TTACCTTATATAGGCCGTTCTCCTCGAGCGACATGTAATGTTATTATTAATTACAACATTATATATTTTATAACAACAATTAATGCCCCCACATAAACTTTGATAGTACTTGCAACAATTAACGTCCCACACAAACTGAAAAGTTAGTGGACCAGTAATAGTCTTACCTTATATAGGCCGTTCTGCTCCAGAGATATATAATATTAATAATACTTTTAAAAATATAATGTGAATAATAATTATAACATTAGATTTTTAAAACAACAATTAACGTCCCACATAAACTGGCAAGTTAGTGCACCATTAATATTGTTACCTTATAGAGGCCGTTCTCCTCTAGCGATATTTAATGTTAATAATAATTATAAAAATACAATGTGAATAATAATTATAACATTATATTTTTATAACAACAATCAATGCCCCCACATAAACTGACAAGTTAGTGCACCAATAATATTGTTACCTTATAGAGGCCGTTCTCCTCTAGCGATATTTAATGTTAATAATAATTATAAAAATATAATGTGAATAATAATTATAAAATTATATTTTATAGCAACAATTTATGTCCCCACATAAACTGACAAATTAGTGTACCATTAATATTGTTACCTTATATAGGCCGTTCTCCTCGAGCGATATGTAATATTAATAATAATTATAACATCATATTTTTATAACAACAATTAATGCCCCCACATAAACTAACAAATTAGTGCAATAGTAATATTGTTACCTTATATAGGCCGTTCTCCTCGAGAGATATGCTGAGCCGCGTACAAGACTCGCGCAGGCTGTTCTCAGGCACGGCGACCCTGAGACTGCTGCCGCTGCCCCCCTCCAAACACGCAGCGCCCCCCGTCGCCCCCCCTGGTGACGACGCTGAGCTGCTGCCCTCGGGCATGTGGACGAGGGCAGGCGTCGACTGCGACTCCTCCTGACCTGCCATGGCTGTTGTGACATGCGAGACATTAATAGGTATAAGTACTTATATATTAGTCTATATTATACTTATATATTAGTCTATATTATACTTAATTATTAGTCTTATATATATATATATTAATAATATAGTCGTACTTATATTATTAGTCTGCTTATATCGCAAGTTTACAAGGAATTTAAAAGCAAAGAAAACGCCAAGAAATATCGATATAGTGAATTTTCTTGGCGTTTCTTTGCTTTTAAATTCCTTATTAATAGGTATGTGTTGTATGGACTAGAACATTAGTGGGTATGTGTTGTATGGACTAGAACATTAGTGGGTATGTATTGTATGGCCCAGCACATTAGTGGGTATGTGTTGTATGGACTAGAACATTAGTGGGTATGTGTTGTATAGACTAGAACATCAGTGGGTATGTGTTGTATGGACCAGCACATTAGTGGGTATGTGTTGTATGGATCAGCACATTAGTGGGCATGTGTTGTAT